GTTAAAGTGACTGTGGAAATTCTGCGTATTGCAAAGTTGTATTGAGAAAGAATAACCTAGTTTTAATTAAGAAAGGGCTTGTACCGCTGAAGTTCCTCGGAAAGAATTTACAACAGAAATTAACAAACGAGCAGATACGTAACAATACAATCTGCGATAATTTCACTTTAAAAAAAGCGCCACTATATGCTCTTTACATCGTCTAGAACTATATCTCCCACTAACTTTGTCTAACTTACTCGAACTACATTTTGGACGGGTATTTATAAATAGCCCAACTGAGGCCTACAATCTTTTACACATTACGATATTGTTACGTCTCTGTTCGTTAGTTAATTTCCGTTAAAATTCTTTCCGAAGAAACTTTGGCGATACAAGTCCTTTCTTAGATAATACTGGTTTATTCTTTCTGAATACAGCTTTGCAATACACTTAATTTCCACAGTCGCGCTATAATAAACGCTATAATTGACAACGAACGTCTCACGTGCTCGTCTCAACAATACGATTTTCTCTGTCTACAGTTCAATTACACATTGTTGCCGTCACGTCTTGACTGTTTTATATGTACAAGAATACCGAAATCTAGTAAACGCCCGAGCATTCACGAACCTTCGAGAATATGACGTGTTACTAGCTCACGTGACCTCCACTGTCGTAACAATATTTTCGATATATATACGCGTTATACTTAAATCAAAACAGTCGTGTATATCTAACAAATATTATATCATGGCTCACTTATAACTTTGTTAAAGGAAAGCTAACTAGATGGAGAATACTGTTACGTCTCCATTTGTTAATTGATTTTCCGTAACTTCGTTCCGACGAAACTTTAGCGACGCAAGTCCTTTCTTAATAAAACTGGTTTATTCTTTCCGAATACAACTTTACGATACATTTAACTTCAACAGTCGCGCTATAACAAACGCTATATCTCAAGTGGCCAACAATATTTTGTCCGCATACATTCAATTACTCATTACCTCTTGTCCCGCACGTTGTCAACGTCTTATATATACAAGACTAACACATATCTAGTAGTCTCCCGATAATTCACGAAGGTTCGAGAGAAGTGGCGTAATACTAGTCACGTGACCTCGCTGACGCAACAGTATCAAATACGCAATGTAGTACAAAACCTGTAACACTTTGACAATATGACTATTACTGCTGCACGAGTTTCTCCATACAAATTTTCCCAAGAATACAAGAACCAAATAAATCTAGGAAAGATTCTTGTCACATTTGGTGATAATTATGTAAAACTGAGTGAAAACAAATCCACATTGATCCTAGAAAACAAAGATAGTGCAATGCTCAGAAAACTTTTGATGATACTAGATGGCATTTTTGTAGAGATTAAAATGATTCATTAGGTAGAAATCAAAGTAATATAAGAAGTATTAAAATCACTGCAATATGAAAAAACTTTAATTAGACATTTTACAATTTGTTTCTAATTCTGTTATCAATTTGAAAAGTTTGAAAAATTTTACATCATAAGCTTTTAAGTGAGAAGTTGTTGATATAAAAGTTGGAAAGATTACATTTCACAATATAGGCTGGATGAAACTGTTGAAACACACATGCATGCTGAGGACTAATCAATAAATCAAACAACTTGAAGATAATGCATAAATACGAACATCACTAGTCAATATAACCCCAAATAACATATGTAAGAAGAAGTAGTGTTATTCACATGTTCAACTTGTTGAAGGTTTTGCACTACGTAGTGTATATGATACATTTTCATGTACAACAGCTTAGAATGAAAAAATTAACTTAGTCCAAAATTGTTGTACCTGAGTACACCTATCATATATAAAAAAAAAGGTTGTTGGATGAAAAATTAAAAGAATTAATTGAAACTAGTAAGATTTGTCTCAAAACAGAATAATATATTAGTTGAAAGTAACAGATTAATTAGCCCTTGTGATATCCTACTAATCAATGATTAGAAATTATAAAGCTTAGCCTTCTTTACATAGAAACATTAAAAACTGTATCTAAGAAATCATAATTTAAAAAAATTGACTTATTATTAATACTTTACAAAACGTCAGCCTATTATTCAAAGCAAACAGTAATTGGAATTATAACAAAATATTACTTACACTTGATGCCTTCCAATTCACAAGTGCACAAAATGTATTTTCAAAATTAATGAACAATAAAATATTTTACTTTAATCAGAGCAAAGCTGTCAATGTTTGGCAACATGTAGGAGGTTTGGTTCTCCGATCATTTATACACACATTTATTCTGTGCCAACCCTGTGCAGAAGTGAATCAGTGAACAACTTAATTAAAAGTGCCTAAATCATAATCAAATAACCTCAATGAAATTATAGTGTTTTTTACAAGTAAACATGTCATCTTCAGGAGTAAGGCAGAGATAGTGAAATCCACCAATCTTCTCTTACTCGTGAAGAAAAGTCCACCTGTTGCAAGTACTAGTTTTACTGGGTTTATTTGAACATGATATACCAAACATTGAAGAAGACAAGTTCACCTGTCGCAAGTGCTAATTTGACTGAGTTGATTTGTAAATGTATATCAAACATTGTTTGATCATATACGTCGTTCTTATTATCCCAAATTAATTAATGTAGGTTTAGATGTAAATGTAATTATTTTGAACTAAGTTTAAATGTTGGACTTTTTAAACAAATGGCTCTAATAGTTACAATGTATATATTTGTCTTGCTGTTTTTTTAGGGTAATTAAGTACAAGGCTACACAATGGGCTATCTGTGCTCTGCTCACCACGGGTATCGAAACCCAGATTCTAGCATGGTAAGTCTGCAGACATACCACTTTGGGGGCATTTGTCTTGTTCCAATAAATTATTATATATTTTTTTAATAAGCCTATGCATCATGCTATCTACTTCTTGAAATATCCAATTGAAAGCCTACACACATATCATATCTATAGATTTATAATTACAATATGTCTATCAATCTGTAGGTATAGTCAGAAGCATTGTTTAACTCTTCAATATTTATTAAAGACATTGCAGGAAAAAGTG